GTACTCTATCCAAGGGGGGGGCGAGTAAAGAGTCTGAAAATTCCACGGAAAGCCCTCGACATGTTTCGACAACAACTATTTTTAGTGTTGGCACAAGCTTGGTTGCGGAGCAATCGAGCTTTGAAATTCGAGCGAGGGGGTGGGGGTGCCACCTCTCCGCCTCTTACGTACGGTAAATTCAAACACACCAACAACGTAACGAGGGCTGCACCCGTAGCTGGCTATCATCGTCGTTGGCCTTGAATACTTCAAAGCAGTTTTTTTGCGCAAGGCAAAGTTCAGGTTTAAATTATCAACAAAAATAAACTTCTCAAGAAAATGTACGGCACTAGTGCCCGGGCGAATAATTCCGCTGCCCCCCTGTACAATGCACGTGAGATAGCGTGACACGGACGGAATTCAACGGGAAAATTCACGTCGTCTCATCCATCCCCTGAATAGACCGCGCTGGGTGCCCGGTGTGGTGTTGGTGAAGCTGGCAGGCATCTTTCGGCACAACCGAGGGACCCGTACTTCACAAATACAGAATATCCTGATGTTCGTACGCGCACCGCGAAGGGGGGGTTAGGGGTTAGGGGCCTCAGCAGGTCGAGAGCGACCTAAGGATTTGTAATTTCGGTGTTCTTTCTGGGTGCCGGTGTTCTGGGTGTTCGAATACGGTAAATAATTTGCCACCAGCTGTATGTGATTACTACTGCTGTGCTTTTGCTCTCTGCCACGACTCTTGCCTTGAGGCAGGTGCGAAAACGTCACGCAAGCTGCAGGCAACGGCTGAGAGGCGAATACCTTTTGAGACAGCAGTCGGGTACGTACGAGTTATACGACCAACACAAGACGTGACAACCCCACCCGCCCTTTATACGCCACCGCCACCGATAGGTCCTTGGAGTTATATCGGGTAATCTTCAAACAACGTGCCACAAAAATAGGCAATAGGATACAAAATACACAGATGCTCCAGCGGCAAGCCCACAACAGAGAGGAAAATTGTCTGCTTCTTCTTGACCTCTCGACAGCAGCAGCTGAGAAGCTGCGATTGTACGGCAGGTGGACGTTGGCGAGTGGTGCAAGTAGAGCTTCTCTTGGATAGCGATGGAATCGTCGTGTGATACTACGTAAGAAAAAGCAGGACATAATTAGTCTGTAAACTTTCCCTGATCAACCACTCTCTTATCTTTGAGTAGTCTACGCATATATAACCCTTTGGTCGGGCCTGACCCTATGCTTACGTCACGAATATGCGTGCGCGTTAACTGACCGCAACGCACAATATTAGGAAAAATAAGAACACCAGTTGCCAGCCTGAAAAAATCGAAAAACACGAGAGAAAACAACAAGCCAACGCCGGCCGATAGGCATATGCCCGGTAGGCGTGTGCATCCGTCTGAAGTCTCCGTGAGAGTAATCAACCAGCCGGATATATATTCTGTGCGTATTTTGCTCTTGTGTTCGACTTTCAAAGTTTTCCCATCCCGACCAGAGGATTGATTGTGCGTGGTTGGTGCTCGCGGAAGGCTTCCGAGTCAACAACAATCAGCAGCACTGCTGGTGGGACAGAAGCAGGTGCTTCAAGATGCTTGCAGCAGCGACCGGAAATGTTTTTGTGCGCGGTCACGTGCAGACCCGACCCAACCAACCAACAGGCCGAATGGCTCAATCGGGATCCGCCAGTACTCCGACGAAACCTCATCATCAACTTTTTCTCTCTACAACGTTCACGTATCATAACACGCTTGTTATCTATTCCCGACGCCAGTTTACTTGCCATGCCCGCCAGCAGGCCGAGACCAGATATGCTTGCTCTGCGGGCCGAGATATCAAAAACTTCTAGACTAGTCCAAGTGTTTGAATAACGTAAAGACAGCGATGGCCGCGTATGATACACAATGTAGCTGCAAGCTAGCAAGGGATCTCAAGCGTGGTCCACCATGAACGTACAACGCTCACCCTTGCGGACCCCCAAAGATTGCCAACATTGCGTACTTCGAACCACTTCGTTTTCACTTGCATTTACCATTTACCTCATCATACGGCGGTACCTGGTTCCATATATGAACATGACCTGTTGAGGGGCGGGCAACCATGTGGATTTTCGTCCTCTCTTTCTCTCTCGCTTTTTGTGTGTAATCTCACCGTCACCTGGCGCGGTTGTGTATTCCTTCCTCTCAAATTCAACGCGGTGCCCAAGACAACAGGGTCTTCAAAACAACAATCACAAGAGAACGAGAAAAATAACAACAACGCCAGTCAAACGAAGCACACCAACAACGCACACACCTTGACATCCACGTAGTTGTCCATCTTGTGGAGGGTGCAGTACTCCGCCTTCTGCCCCGGCAGGGCGTAGCGGGGGTGCTTGTTGCAGCCAGGCATCCGGCAACGGTTGCGCTTGCTGCCACCGGGCGTGGCAACGGCGGTCGTATCGGCCATCCCCGGCAGGCGGTGCTCCGAGCAGTGGCCGGGCCGTTCCCCGCGGGCGGCGTGGGTGGCCCTCCTGGAGCACCCTCCAAACATGCACTGCTGCTGCTGCTGCTGCTGCTGCTGCTGCTGCTGCCGCGGCTGCTGACTGCGCGGGGTCTTGACGATGCCGGCGCCGCCGCCGCTGTTTCGCTGCTGCTTGATCGGCGACTCGTCAGGCTCCCCCCAGAAGGGCGTCGCCGCCGCCGCCCGTGTCGGGGTGCGGTAGGGTTCCTCCGGCACGGCTGCGATGGCTGCTTCCGCGGCGGAGACGTGGTAGCTGCTCCGGCGCTGCTGGTGCTGGTGCTGGTGCTGCTGGTCGAAGTATAGCGACGACGATCCGTTAGCAGCAACACCATCCTGTTGGTGGTTGGAGATGATCATGTCATCCCGCAGCAGGAAGGCGTCGGGGTGATCATGGAGGCTGCGGCTGCGGTGGCGGGGGTGGTGCACAGCGGTCTGGGTCTGCAGGTCGTACAGCCGGCGCTCGACGGATGCCGCCGACGATGACGATCCTCCGCGGCGGTGTTGGAACTGCTGCTGCCTAGGTGGGGATGGCGGCAGCGGCGCGTTTGCGTCGGGAGCAGAAGAAGAGGGGTGGAATATTTCCGGTCCACGAACGATCCGCGGAGAACGGCTGCGTGAGACGTCGTTGTCACCGCCGCCGCTGCTGCTGCCGCTCCCGAATGGCGCACCCGGCTGCAGAGGCTGCTCTGGACGCCTCTCAAAGTGCGGGTAGTCGTCACTGGTGGCGGCGGCGGCGGGGGGCGGCTCTGTCACGACAGCAGTTGGCATGGCTGCTGCGGCGGAGGAGGTAGTGCTGCGCCAACCGGGGGGACACTGCTGCTGGGGCGGTGGTCCAAAGGCCGGGGAAAAGCCGTTCCGACCGCTGCCGCCGCTCCAGTCATCATGCTGCTGCTGCTGCTGCTGCTGCTCTTTCCTGGGTTGCGGGAGACCCCTGAGAAGACTCGCCACGGGCTTGAGCCAGGGCTTGCGCTCGGGCTGCTGGCAGCGGGGCCCTACGTTGCCCATCATCACCATCGGAGCGGCAGCGGTTGCCGGGTCGTCATGCGGCATCGCGGGGTCGATTCCGATCATGCTGCTGCTGCTGCTGCTCCTTTTCTTCTCATTGTTGCTGCTGTAGTTGTTGTCCTCGTTTCGGCTTGTCCTGCCGCCGCCACCGAGCTGTTGTTGTTGCTGCTGCTGCTGGGACACCGACGAGCTCCTGGGGGGCCACATCCAGCTGCTGCTGCTGCTGCTGCTGCTGCTGTTGGTGTAGATGGTTTGGCCGGAGTGCCCCGCTGGTCGCGTGCTAGCTCTTCCCACATGGAACGCAGCCATGTCTGTTCTGTTCACAGCGATCCACGCACTTTGGTTGCCGCTGTTGATGTTGAGGTTTGCGACACGCAAAAGTAACGGATCCCCCTCCTCCCTTGCCTTTGCCAAGCGTTGTTGTTATTCACTCTTTGCCTCCCCCCACCGCAACTCCTCCTTGCCTCGGAGAGCGAGAAGAGTGAGAGAGAGAGCAGAGCAAAAATCAAAAGCAGAGCAGGGGTCGAAAAAAGGAGAGGGCGGGTGTGACGAGCGTATATTATATTCGTGTCCTCTCTTCTTTGTCTTTCTCGCTCCAGCTCCCTCTAGCAAGCACACAGGGCACCCAAGCTCGTGAGTTGCTGTGTGTGTTCAAAACTCGCTAAACGTGAGTGATTTTTCGATGGTCGACCTCAGGTATCTGCAGACCAGCCCCCCCTCCCCGTTCTCCCCACTTGCAACGGGCACGACAGAGCAGGGAGTTGCTTGTTGCTTCGGGAGGGAAGGGAGAAACGATCTTGGTGCAGCGGCGGCGGGTGGAGGGTATGGCCAGCGAGGCCCTTGAAGAGCGTTGGCTCGGTGAGATTTGTGCACAGAGCCGTTGTTTCTTGACCTGCCTACGATATTTCGAGGAAAAAAATTCATTTGTTGGTTGTCGAACCAACCACCACGGCTGTGTGTGTTACCGCTTCATGCCTGCAGAGTTGGTGAGAGGGCACTTGTTTGCTGCCGGAGGCCTCGTTATTTTTATTGCAGATGAGCATCACAAGGTACGTGCTTAGACTACAACGCTTTTTGGCCCTGAGTTCGCGTTTCTCTTTATGTGCTGTATATATAGGGTGGCGTCGTGTCGCGCTTGTTTTCTCGTGAGACACTAGAAAATAGAGTTGCAGAGAAGAGAGGAAAACAACAGCGGACCCGCATCCGGCTAGCCAAGCGAGGGAGTGGGGTACGACGCCAGACGGGTAACTGCTGTAGACGGGTAATATCCGTACGCCAGATGCTACATCTACATAGAAGAGCGTGGTGACTTGCAACGGTTATGAGGCGGGTGATGGTCTGCGAGCAAAACACCTAAGGTGGCACGCCGGCAATGTGCAGCAGCAACAGCAAGGTCGGCCGGTGCTCCTGTTGATTGGGAGTTGTTCTACAGCATCCTGGATCCCTGCAAATGCCCGTTGTGGGATGTTCTCAAAAGTCGATGCAAAGAAAATTCGCGAAACACGCGGCACTCGCCTACTGCATGCAATATTAACGACGAGGAGTCGGGGGAGGTGCCACATCTGGCACACACACCCATCATGCATAAAAAAGAAACACATCATGCCCGCGAGTGTGTGTAATTTGTTGCTCGGCGGCACGGAACAACGAACTCCCTGTGCATGCATGTACCACCAGTCTTCGTTCGTCCATCCACGGTGCACTACTACTGTAGACTGTGGCATACGATATTTGAAAATTGTGCCGTGGGTGACACCTTCGTCCGTATGTATTTTTATTACTAGCATCGACCTCGCTAACAGGCTGACCAATGAGGCGTCGGTGTCCGTGCGGTTGAAAACACAAAACACTCCTATCTGCCATGATGAACTGGGACCCCGTGAGGGGGCAGCATCGGGGAGGCTAAACTATCCTTCGGATAAAAGACAGAAACAACAGCAACAGAAGAAAACTGCACGCGTCTACCCAAAGGGCTAGACTACCTCCTTGTACTCGAGTTCGTTTAGGAGCACTTTCACCATTATCCTCCTTTTTTTCGCTTGCATCATTCTGATCCTCATTTTGACAAGAATCTCTGGGCAGTTCTTCCCTAGCCCTACGTTTTTTGTTTTGGGGAAGTTCATCCGGCTCGAACCCTTTGCTCTCTTCCACTCCTCCATGTTTTCCTCCTCCATCGTCGTCTTCGTCCTCCTTTCTTCCCGTTCCCTTCCCTTCATCTCCTTCACTCCCAAAAAAAATTACCGTCATTACTATCGTTGTGGAAGAGATCCCAACCGATTGGCCCTGGTGGATGTTGGTCGATCAGTAGCCCATGACGTTTGAACACATCGCGAGTTCGCATCGACAGAAAACGAGCTAGCTCGAAGGTAAACCGTCTCCGAATCCTGTTAGTATGAAGAGCTTTAAGGCGAACTAAGGCTCTTTCGTCGTTAAAATTTCCCCGGCAAAAAGCTTCGTGCGCCAGGTGGTTGGCGATATGTAGCAACGATGAGTCGATTGGTGCCTATGTTTGTTGTTGTTGTTGTTGACTTCACATTAAACCGTATGCCAGTTGCTAAATGCCAAAATCTAGCAAAGACTCTCGGCCCGTGGTCACGAAAGTGCTGGAGCCATCTGAGGATCTAAAGAAGACGCACACGTAGCAAGAAAAAGGTGTAACCCTAACCCTAACCCTAACCCTAACCCTATGTCTAGACCACTATTCGTTGAAAAAGCAGCAGTAAGGAGGGTAGATCTAGACGGGTTGAATGTTCCCGCATAGTAGTGATTTGCCTTACTTGCAGCTCGATCTTCGAGGGCGGATCCTGGCTTTTGCATCGACTTGTCGATGCTTCGACCTGCGGATGGGTTGACGATTGTTACGTCTATAACATGGTTGTGCATCATGGTTGTGCACATGGTTTTTGTATTCATGCACCATTGGCCGTAAGCTTACAGCAGTGCTACCTAAAAATGCTGCTACAAGATACCAGGAAACGTCAGCAGTGCAGCTTGTTATATGCATGCCGCCTTGGGTGCATTGACACCTCCTCCGGGCTTGTATGCCGGCCGAAGGGCCTCGAAACAACAAGAGCAGTGCTTGAGAAAGGATTTGATGTTCGTATTTTCGTAAGTTATTATTTTATTTTTTTCAGGTGCTTAATCGCGAGCGGCGATCCAAACGAACTTAAAGTCAAGCCCTTGCTGTAGGAAAACCGCACTGGGTACGCGTCACACTTCAAAGCACGTTTGATTTTTTTTTTCTAGTTTTGATATGCCGGCACTGACTGTGTTGTTCTTCGTTTTGAATTGACCGCCCTAGCCGGCTTACCAATATTTCATGTGCGTGTGTTGTTGTTGTTGTTGTCGTTGTTTTTGCTGTTTTTCTGTTGTTTTCACAGCGTTTGTAGATACCCAATACTAAGAGTATAACATATGGATGGCCTCTACTCTGGGTGAGCGGAGAGTCCGGGGTTGTGGTGGCTATGTCCTGCCACCGGAGGTTGGCTATTTCCTTTGGTGCAATGTGGCGAGCAATGCCAAGCGTGACCGAGCGAACTCTGTCAAGCTAGGGTGGTGCGGAGAGTGGGCGAGCCTTCGTGGACTTCTTTTCCCAGTTTCCTAAAGATCCATCAACTCTTCGCAGCCGTTGGGAGTCACGAGAGTTTTGGACCCTCGGAGAACGGTATTCTATCATCACATATTCCCTCAGATCCTACTCTTTATGTACGTGTATCTGTGCGCCCTCAATCTCCATATCCTGACCTCCACATGGCCCCCCTTATTCTTCGCCGAAAGCTCAGCTTGTTGCAGTGGGGTGTTGGCGCACATGCATGTTTGCATGTTTCTTGTAGTGGAGCAGGTATGCATGTGTCATTGGATCCAGATACAGCTCTTCGAAAATTAAATCTCTCCCTCACTATCCGAAGACAGCTGACAGTGCCGTGTGGAATACACACGTGTTGGAAGCAACGCCGTACGGATTGAACCTCTCCAAGGCTCTTACAAGCTAAACCAGGTATTGATGTCAATCAATGATGTGTCAAAGCTTGTTCTTGTTGTTAAGTATCAAGATTTTGTACTTTGTGCAGGTTCTGGTTCTCGTAACCATACCGCTGGGTGTAAGCAATCGTGTTGCTTTTTGAGTACGAAAGGCATACGGTGTTGGACAGTCAAAAGACTGTTTCCGTGACTCATGATTAGTGTCATCGAGTTGCGACCCTCAATTCCACTAGAGACCGGTTAACTTGGCATTTCCTCGCCAGCATTTGACCCAACCAAATGCTGAATAGCAACCTTCTTGTTTGGATGCTATTCCTTTCACCGTTTAGGCACTTTGGAAATGTATCTCTTGTTTGCCTTCGGACTTCGTTTACTTTTCCGCTGAGTACTTTTCTTGTTGACGCATCTTGCTGGCTTGGTCCACGACGTGTTTGGCCTTGCCTTGTGCTTTGCGGTTTTGTTTGTACTCGGATCCCTACCTTGGTCGCGTTTTCGTTTCGCTATTTTCTGCGGCACTTCGGACGATTTCTTGGCGGGCGCGATGTCCAGATCATGTTTTGATCTGTATGCGGAAATCATTTCGCGGCATTGCAGCACTTCGTCGGCACGATACATCAGATCTGATTCAGGACCGTTTCCTTTCAGTCTTAGACGATATCGATGGTTGTGCGGACCTTTTCGGCCTTGACCCGCTTCGATGCCCCACCACTTTGAGTATGACGCATCTTTCAATTTTCGGTTGATTTTCGTCGTTTGCTGTCAGGGCGGGTAAGGGAATTTGTTTCCGAAGGTAGTATTCCGCCAGTTTTCCAAACTGTGGTGCTGGTGGTGGTTCCCTTCATAGTACTGTTTTAGATGGGCAAGATGCACGGATATTTCTCGTGTTTCATCGACTCGCTTCACCCTATACACAACTGGCGACAGTTGTGAGCAGATGGTATATGGTCCTCGCCACGGTGAGAACAGCTTCGGATTTGGTCCATCTATATCCTGGTGTGGTCGGTATACGAGTACTTGTTGACCAGGTTTAAACACGGGGTACTGCGGTAACTTTTCGTTTTTCGCAGCTTGCTTCTCTGCACGTTCCGTGAGGTTTCTTCGCGCTAGTTCGAAAGCAATTTGTAGATTTTCTCGTGCGTTTTGAGCAAAAACTCTCGGTATCTGCAGTTGATCCTACATGTGGGATTCCGAGAGTTACATCCACGGGTAACCGTGCTTGGCGACCAAACATCAAGAAGTACGGTGTCTCATGCATGGTTTTATCAAACGACGTATTATACGCTAGTTGAACCATTGGCAGGAGATCCGCCCAGTTGTCACGATTCATGGAGCTATGCATTGCGAGCATGGAATGCATCGTTGAATGCGCACGCTCAGAGACCGAATTATCTTGCGGACGATACGGCGTCGTGCGTGTTTTCTTGTAGCCCAAGATTGTTTGCAACTGATAGATTATCTTGTTTTCGAATTCAGTGCCTTGATCAGAGTGCAGCATGTCAGGCGGGCCAAAGATGCTGATAATCTGGCCAATGATCACACGTGCTACGGTTTCAGCAGTTTTGTTTGGAACTGGTGTGAGAATTGCATAATAACGCGTCAGGTGGTCCATTATGGACAGCACGTATTTACATCTCACTCCGACTGCTGACGTTGAGAGTGATTTGTACTGGACTAGGTCGACTGATACTCTTTCAAACGGCCGCTGTACAGGTACGTGACCCATCGGCAGTTTCGAACGGCGGTGAGGTGTCTTTCTCCGTTGACAGGCTTGGCATTCTAGGTACCAAGTCGGGATGTCGCGGTTCATTGACTGCCACTAATATTTTTGTCGTACTTTTTCGTACGTTGGACGAAAAGCGACGTGTCCACCTGAAAGAGCGTGATCATGGTATGCGTGCATCACTAAACCGATGAGGTCATGTGGGACTACAAGTTGATCACTAATAGTGCTTCGTTTTCGTAGGAGTCCTGGCAGATACGATTTAAACAGTAAACCGTCTTGTATGGAATAGTACGACATTGATGTTGCCGTTTCGTTGTCTGGTAGCGGTGCTTTGGCGTCTAAAATGTATTGGACATATTCGCCGTATTCTTCGGCTTGTTTCTCGCGCAATTTCTCATGCTTAACACATTCAAATACTTCCGTGGGGCTGACGAAATTTGAATTGACTGTGAATAATTCCCTATCACGAAGGACTGGTTGCACATCATCCAATTTGTCAGTCGAGACTTGGTATGGTCTGTTTGGCATGTGTTGTTGCAGCTTTGGATCGTCCGGTACATTTCGGCAAATCGGTGCAAGGTTCGTCGCAGTTCGTTCTTGTTCATTATCGAACACGAAAAGTCGCGATAACGTATCCGGCACTACATGCAACTTTCCCGGTTTATGTTTTACCATGAAATCGAAGGATTGCAGTGCTATTGCCCATCTGGTGAGAGCATATTTGACGTGTCTTGCATCGTATAAAGAGATCGCAGGCGTTGGCAAATCTAGTATCGATTTTATCCGATCTTTACCTAAACGTATGCTATCTGCGGAAAGAATATGCCCCAAACTCTTCACTTCCTTTGGCCCAAATTGTACCTTTGATGGCTTTAGTGTAAGACCTGCGGCTTGTAGCGCTTGAAAGGTATTTTCCAAAGAGATATGTGACCCTCCCATGTAGATGAACAATAAGTAAGATCATCCATGTCCACGAGAAGAGCAGTTTTTGGACCAAAATGTGCGAAAGTCAATGCCATCATGCTACTCTTTATGTACGTGTATCTGTGCTCCCTGAATCTCCATAATCCTGACCTCCGCAAATACGCCGGTACGTAAAATGGCCGAACATAAAGCACGCTTCATCCCCTCACCCAGGAACCCTGTCCCGCCCCCCCCCCCGCACACACCGCTGAAACTAAATCCAGAGGAGCAGACCCGGATAGCGCGAGCCGTCGTCGACACCGACGATGTACTGTGGACACTGGACCAACCCCCGGAACGAAATGCCGCCACCGCCCGCCGCCCCACACCGCCGCCGCAGCATGGGCAGACCCAGACCGAACCAAAAGAGATGTCATCCGCAGCAGTAGGTGGAATGACGAAAAATAGCGGCGACGGCAGCGGCGGCGGCGGCGGTGGAAGCCGGGACGGCGGTCCTCCCGAAACACCCCCGCCTCCGGCGATCGTGACTAGCGCTACGCCTGGTCGGTTGCTGCGGTTGGTTGGGGGCGTAGACATCTCGTTCGTCAAGGGGAGCGAGGAGAACGCCTGCGCGAGCCTGGTGGTCCTTGACTTCCCGTCGCTGAAGACGGTGTACGAGGCGTATGAAAGGGTGACGATGAACCACCCTTACATATCCGGCTTCCTGGCGTTTCGAGAGGTGCGCTTGACGGAAAAAATCTTCTGTGTTTTGTTCAGAAGCCGAAGCCATACCGTTGGACTGGCTGACTAGTCTAAAGGTTTGATTTCGACTCGCACACTTCCGGTTTGATTTCGGCTCCTGCACAAGATACTCGTGGGGGACAGGAAACCCAGACCGTTGTTTTTGTGTTGTTGCTCCTTTTATGTCAAACGCCAAGATCTTATGCTGCATTTACATGTGGTTAATGATTGACTACGCCCGTCTTGCTGTATTTGACGCTCCGCTCTGGATGGCCACCCCAACGGATTCCGTGTGCTGAGACCATGAAGGGCTGCGGCACCGTCTTCGATACATGTACAGAGTAGAAGCCTAACACCACCATAGATCGAGGGGTTGTTGGCCGTGGCAAGCTTGGTGGGAGGGGGGGGCGTACCCGTGCATGAACGCATGCCGTAGTCGTTAGGCCAGTGCCCTCGCATCCCTACAGTGCCGGGACGGAGCGAGATGCCTGGGTTTCGCCGGCCCAGGCTACGTGCTACTTTTCAAAAGTATGAACGATCATCGTCAGTGCGGTTGCTGTGCCAAACCAGATATATATATAGATCTATATGGCCGGGTTTTCGCCGGCCCAGGCTACGTTTCAAAAGGATTAACGATCATGTCCTTGCGGTTGCTGTGCCAAACCAGGTACATATATACTTCTTTTGGTCTTCACTTCAAATCAGCGCTCACAGCACTATAATAGTGCCGTTTACTCCAACCCATGGTCACACAGAAGAGCCCCTCTCTACCCTCCCCTCCTGCGGTACTTTGCCTTCGATTTTTAATGCGAGAAGAGTTCAGCACTCTCTTCCCTCTGTGTACACACGAACTAGCGCTATCCACTAGGCCAGGAGCGGAAGCGAGAGAAAAACTCACTTCGTAAGAAAAGCTCGCTTACGCCGGGATTCGAACCCGGTAGTTTGACCTCTAGAAGGTACCACCTAAACCACCGGGGCGACCGGCTAAAAACAATATCCACATGGGTTCGTCGACGAAGAGATTCGAACTCTCGCGGGCATAGCCCAACGGCTTAGCAGGCCGTCACCTTAACCACTCGGCCACGTCGACCTTGCTATGCCATAGGGTGATCGGGCATCCCGGCTTACTA